AAATGTGGCCTGGAGATTAAAATAAGAAGTAAAATGTTTACTGCATTTTCCTTGAAGGTTTGTGTATGGAGACTTTGATTAAAAAAAAAATTACACTATTATATTGCCACAGAAGCAGCATGGCTGCTTGTGTGTATTTAGTACATCTATTTTACATTTCATGTGGATGAAGAATGACTGAAATATCAGCTACATTAGGCAAAAGCTTTGTGCAGCACCAAATCTCCAGCTTCTAGAATGGTACCTGGCACATAGTGATTGTTCCATAAAAACCTACTAAATGAATGACCTAACAGTTAAATAACTGAAATGAACAATCAAATCTATTTTTTTTTCAGTGATGACTTTTCTTTTTTTAAAAAATATATATTTTTTAGATATTGATGGACCTTTATTTATTTTTATGTGGTGCTGAGAATCGAACCCAGTGCCTCACACCTGCTGGGCAAGTGCTCCACCACCGAGCCACAATCCCAGGTACAGTGATGACCCATCTTATGGACTTGTTGCAACGGTGACGCTGGTGTTTGTCTGGTGGTCTGATAAGTTGTTGCCTGCTGTTCCCAGGTCTGTGCCTCTGCACAGATCCAGCCTCGCTCAGTGCAGGTCTGCCCGGAGGAACCTGTGTCTCCTTCATTCACGGAACCATTGCAGGCAGCATGGTACTTTCTTAGTTAATATTTGTTGGATGGATGCATGGTGGGCTGTAGTTTTATGATCGTTCCTAGTTGGTTTCCACGAGGTTGACTGATGATGCCTTCCCAGTTTGACATTCAATGGGACAAAGATAAAAGAGGCTAAGTGAGCTACCTCAGAAAGCCTTGGGTCGAAGGTAGCAGAGCTGGAACCACCATCTCTGAATCTGTTGCTTTCTTCCTCCCTTGTTCTAGAAGGGCCTTTAGAATATTAATGAACATTAGTTTTTCCCCTCTGAACAGTTGAGACCCTCTTTACTTGAGAGTGTTACAGGAAAATGTCCTATGTGCAGGTTTTCCCAAACTGCTGTCCTCATCTTCAGCCACAAACTTTATTAGGTGCTGGTTTGGGTCATTCACAGTGGTCCTTTTTCAGTTACTTGTGATGAGAGCCTGACAGATTTTTAGGGGGAAAAAATGTTTTTAAAACTAGCTCTCATTCTTTTAAGCAATTTATATTCTTCTTTCTTCTAAATGCTTGAAGATGTAAATTTGTCAATAGTATAATCTAAGTTATTAAAATAAATTTCATAGCTGTGAGAGAAGTATTCTCTAATATATTTTTTCTTTCTTGTTTGCCTAGTCATCTATCTATCTATCTATTGGCTGGGGATTGAACCCAGGCTCTTGCTCATGCGGCGTAAGTGCTCTACCACTGAGCTACATCCCCAGCCCTTGCCTGGTCATTTTGATGTAAAAATTCCAGCAGAGTTGAATCGATCCAATGGATATTTCTGGAATGGGCTCAGGAAGCAGAAACCTTCTCTGTGATAATAGAAAATGTTGGCCAAAGCCACGATCTGGAGCCAAGGTTCTGAGTAATGAAGGATTTCAAAATCTATGAAACTAATTCTCATTCCTATTTACCCTTTTATTGAGAAAGATAATTTGGTGGTTTCAGCAAGATTTCGTCCAGTGTGGGGTTGGTAGGTCAGAGTTTTTCTATCAGACTGCTCAATTTGAACTTACAGTCATTATCTTATGGATGACTTTAAAGAGTTGGCTGAACAATGCTCACAATGCTCTGATTTTGTTGTGAAGTCTCAATAAGAATTGAATTCCTTTTGCCCCCTGTGGACAGTCGCCTGTAGTGTTGGAACTGAGCCACATGAGGGGTTGTACCACAGCTTGTATTGTGGGCCCTCCAGGGTCTAGGCATGGAAATATATGGCGGGGACTTTAAGAGCGGTTTGGGATGGAAAGAAAGCCTTTTCTCTTTGCAGCCGGTGCCTGCCTCCTCAGCCAGGGCTGGACAGAGCCATTGTGAGTATGCAGGCTGTTACAAAGCTGGATCCCATCATCCCTGATGCGGCTGTACCCGCCTTTGTTGTCCTGGTGCACAGTGGGGAGAGGCGGGTTTGAATTTGCCATTGCCATCTGTCCTCTGCTTCCCTTGCTGTTCAGGCTTAGTCACATTTTATGATTTAGGTTTCTGATTCGTGTGACCTGGGCACTGTAAGAAAGAACTGGAGGTGAGCACTGTTTCAGAGAAAAAAATTATGAAGGAAAAAAAAAAAACCAAACTCTGCTCATTTTCTAAGATTGTATAAAGCGTAAGATGTGAAGCATCAGGATTATTTTCACCCTTTAGTGACTTGTTTTCTGAATTTTCAAAACTGCTGACATCCTCCCCTTGGGTCACCTTTGTAGAAGTAAGAGGCCAGGACTTGATGCTGTAGGTCAGGTGACTCTCATGGATTAGCGTGAGCCTTTCCTGTCTCTCGCAGGTGCCTTGGCACAGGTATAGTTTTATCCTGTTGAAAACCTTTTGTCCCACTCTGAGCAGGGGGACATAGCTGCTATCAACAGGACCAGTAGCAGGACTTTCCATGTGATAGGCAGTTTCTGTTGAGGACACCTGCTACCAGGCACAGTGCAGCCATTGTTTCTTTTGTTGAATGCATTCTGGGCAGGGCCATGTCTATTAGCCTGGGGTGGGGTTTTCACTGTTTTTCCTGTCTGCATTTCAGTTTTGGTAGAACAGATTTCTGTCTGTTCTGCAGGTTTTGCTGATGTGAATTTAATGTGTGTGTATGTGAGTGATTCATACAAATGCTATCTCCGAGGGTGCATGTTGAGGAGTTGGGGTGGAAGGAGAGCTTATCAGAGAGGAGGCAGGTGATCTGGACTCGCACTTCTGCTTCCTGGCTGTGTGACTGAGGGAAAAAGCATTTTACTTCTCTGGGCATGGTCTTCTTGGAGTGATAGATTGCCATGGTCCCCACTACCCTATGCTTTGTGTATTTTGGGATGCTAAGAGGATCAGAAGGGAGGCAGGTGTGGCCAAGGGCCCTGCTCCTGCGGAACCAGTAAGTAACCCCAGGGGGAGCTCTTTTAGTTAGGTGACAGTTGTATGGCCTTGCCAGGGATAGGTTTCAATGTGATCTCTGTGGCAAGTTTGCAAAACTAAAGAAAAAGATTTTTTTTCACAATTCTAGGCAAAGTGTCCACTTTCAATCCTGAGTTATTAAAATAAATTTAATAACTGGACACTGGAGTCTGAACTTCTAAATTAAGAACTATATTTTGAGTGTCACTTTGCAGAGTGTCCAAAGTGTTTTAGAATTTTTTTTTTTTTTTGGATTAAAAAAAAATACCTTCATGAACAGCCATGCTGGGGAAAGCACCCAAGTCTAAATGCAGGATTTGTCTGTTTCCTTATACACATACCCTGAAGATGATTTTACATAATATTTTAAATATTTTTGTGCATGAAACAAAGTTTCATAGTATAGAATTTCCTACTTGTGTGTCTTGTTGGCACTCAAAGTTTCAGATTTTGTAGCATTTTGGATTTGGGAATTTTTGAATTGATGATGCTTACCCTGGACTGACTTAAGTTAAACCATGCTTCTTCATTTATTAGCTCTTATTATTCAGACAAGAGGCAACCTACAGATGAGGCTAATATGGCATAGATAGCCTGTTTTTGTTTTGTATTCCCATACTCTTAAAAAAAAAAAGCCCTTATTTAAAAATCTCAGTTGTACAAGCAATATATATTAATTGTAGAAAATTTGGAAAGAACCCAAAAGGAAATACATGTGGCTTCCAGACGTGTAATTTTGCACACTTTGGTGTCCTTAGTTTATACATACCCAGTTTGTAGAATGAAACTGGCCCTACTATATAATATAAAACTTGATATCTTTCCTTTTTTCTGAATGTGTTCCTTTCATGAGGGTTTTTGAAACGGAGGTTTCAAACAAAGGCAGAGATTAATGAAATATTATGTTTGGCGTGCTTATTACAGGGACTGTTTTGACTTACAGAATTAGAATTGTGGACCAGTATCTGAAAATAACATTTGTCCTGTTCCCTCTTGAACAGGCTTTCAATATTTGGCATGTGTAAACATCATAACCATTACTATAATTGACAAACGAAGATTTCTTAATCCATCAGCTCTTGCAATCTATTCCTTTCTCTCATTTGTGTTTCTGTGTCAGCATTGCTGGCTGCAGCACCAGTAAGCATGTCATTTTAACAGTGTACTCCTGGATGCCCCGATTCCTCCAGCTGAAGCTATCCAGTGTGGGCAAGGCCACACGTTTGGCAGCAGGGTGGTGAAGAGATTCCTTTTCCCAGATATATTGTACATCTGATAATATTTACGATTTAACTTGTTGAGTATTGGTTTAGAAATGAAAGATCATTAGTTTCCCCTTTGGATTATTTAGCCTGTAAAATTTTCTGTTACAACGTCCACACTGCATTGTAAATATATTCTAAATCCTGGACCACATTAGAATTTTTTTTTTTTTTTTTTTAATGGTCTCCACCACTGTGTCTTTTGGTGGTGTCCTTTGAAGTCCTGAAATGTTTTCATGTTTGATTGACATTAAATCTGGGTTTCATTTTACTTTTTGAAACATATTGAGCAAGTTAATTTTCTGTTTGAGTTCCTAAGGGGAATGACTCCAGGCCTCTGTGTCCCAAGAATTCCGACTGAGCCTTGCCAGAACATTCCTGTGGTTTTCCATGGGGCAGATCAGTGTGTTCATGAAATTTTAGTTGTAGCTGGTGTTCTCCGTGGTTAATTAAAACATCTGGCTTTTAAATTTTCCACCAACAGAGCATAACTGTGTGGCCAAACCTTCTCAATAATGACTGAATAGTCCAATCCTCCCCTCAGAGGGGCCCGCACGTGTCTTTAGGATACCCTACGCTGTTGTCTCTGTCTGTTAATGATTTTAAACATTTGGAAGGTGTTTGAGGCTGTCCTGCCAACTATGTACCCTTGAGAGAGAGGGGCAGTTTGTGAATAAGAGTCCTCATGATGGCTTCTGGCTTCTGCCCCTCCAGGTTGGAGCTGCTGTGGGTGAGTTGCCGCGATTGCCGGCCAAGCATGCTGTGGTCGGATCTGCCCAGCCGAGGAGCAGAAACATTGGCCGGATGGAAAATCCATAAAAGAAAGCTCTTCTGAAAAGCTGAGACAGACAAGAACTTCCGCAGACTCAGGTTGGTATGCGATAAGAGAAGCTGGATAAAGTACATTGGGTTGATAGGGAAGACTGTTTTGCTCCTTCCATAAGCATTTTTGAGACAAGCCCAAATAATGATCCCTAGGACGTTCCCACCATCGGGTCAGTGGCGCACGGGACAGCTTTCTCTGCCGAGTGTGGTGTTGTCTTCCTTTGTTTCTCTTCCTGTTCTCTCTTCTGTCCCATCTTCTCTTCCATCCTCCCCTTGTCTCCCAGAGAAGAGAAGAAAGAGCCTCCGTCCAAATATGGAAAAAGCCACAAGCAGGGGTCACCCACCACGGCCTCAGTGATCTTGGCTTTGTTTTGGAGAGAAAGCCACATCCTCACTCACGGGTTTGCACTGGTATGTTCAGAAATGTGCGCTCAGTTGTGTTTTCACACTCAGAAAAGTGGGTCATTTCTGTTGGGGTGCTTCTGTCTGTGCCCGACTTGTGTGGCAAGATTTTATACTCTTCTTTCCCCCAAACAAAAGTGACCGACACATTTGTTTTCAGCAGTGTGTGCATTTGACATTAAGATAGTCACAGAGGACAAGAGAAGAGAAATTTCCTGAATGTAATGGGCATTTAAATAAATGCAGAATAGCCTCACTGTGGGCCAGGACAGCCAGATAGCATCGATAGCCCTTATGTGGCACTAAGGTGGAAGAGAATTCATTTTAGGAAGTGTATTGTGCAGGCCAGACACTACAGACACCAGGTAACTTGCATAGCACATAATAAGCAGTGAACATGTACCTGCTAGGAAGAAGGGAATCAGTGGTCAATGAGAACCATAAAATGGTGAACATCTACTGCCTTCTCTTACTAAGTCACCCAGATTTTCTCTGGGCAGTTACCCTGGTCTCATTTTCAACCTGTGTAGTTAGAGGAGGTAACCCCTCTGACTTTCTCTTAGGCATAGGCATGTGACATAAATTTGGCCAGCCGCAGTCACAATGGTCAGTTTTCTTATTTTGTTTTTCGGTACTAGGGATTGAACCCAGGTATGCTTAAACTCTGAGCCACATCACCAGCCCTTTTTTATATTTTATTTAGAGACAGGTTTTTTACTGAGTTGCTTTAGGGCCTTGCTAACTTCCTGAGGCTGGCTTTGAACTCATGATCCGCCTGCCTCAGCCTCCTGAGCCACTGGGATTACAGGTGTGTGCCACTACACCTGGCAGTGGTCAGTTTTTTAAACTGACCAGTACTCTCATCCCAGTAATCTATTGGAAAGAAGTTTTTCCTTCCAGTAAGTTTGTTGAGTGGCAGCTGCTAGTGGTAATTTTTGTGTATGTGGGTACAACAGTCAACTTTTTGTCACTGTTACCAAAATACCTGAAAAAAACAACTTAGAGGAGGAAAAGTTTATTTTGGCTCATGGTTTCAGAGCTGTTGACTGGCTGCGTTGCCCTGGGCCTGAGGCGAGGCAGAACATGATGGCAGAAGAGCTTGACTTCTCTGCTCCTCTCCTGGTGGCCCTGAAGCAGATTAGGAGGACCCAGGGAGGCAAGATATGATCCCCAAGGACACACCCCCACTGATCTTCCTCCTCCATACTCATCCCACCTGCCTATAGTTACCACCCAATTTGTCCTTTCAAATTACTAATTCATCAAATAATTAATACACTAATTAGGTTATGGCTCTCACAATCTGATCATTTTGCCTGCTCATGCAGGAGATTTTGGGGGGACACCTCATATTCAAACCATAACACTGGGGAAAGACTTTCTGAGAATTAAGTCACCATAGAAAAAATCAGAATAGGGTGTTAGAAGAAAGCAGCTGAGAGGGAGGAACATGTATGCATATACACATAAACATAGAGACACGTACATACATATTTACACATATGCACACAAACACATACACATTTATATACATGCATGCACATGCATACACACATACATGCATGCATGCGCACACACATGTACAAACTTTGGTCACCAGTTTAGCCTAAAATCAGCATCTCTCATTACTTGCTGGCCTGGGAGGTAACATACATCCAAAGCCTCCTGATTGGCAGTTGTTTCTAGGTTTTGGCCTTCCTTCAGAGGTACAGGGTGTGAGGTGCAGGCCAGGAGGTAGCTCACACACCATAGGAGGGTATGTTACTAGAGCCGGAACATAGTTCTGTGGGAGCTGGGGTGGAATTCTGAGTTCTGCTGCATGGTGGAGAGAGTAGCAGAGAGGGCTGTTTACAAAGCAGAAGTGAGATTTAGACTTTAGGAACATTTAAAAAAAAAAATCCCTTTAATTCAGTTATTTGCTTTTGAATCTAAAAGAAAGGAGGGCTCTCCAGAACCTATAGTTAAAGCAAATTACAGATAAGGAAGATAATTTCAGAGCATCACTAGTAATAGAATCTTGTTGTTTACTGTAAATACAATTGTTTCAGGAGCAGCCAAATGAGAGCTTGTCAGAAAGCTGCCCAGAGTTTAACACCACAGGGTAATAGCAGCCGCCTCACCGAAACCTCAGTTGGATTTCTGTTCCAAGCAGGTTCCAAGTGCATCAGTGAATTTTCAAGATTTATTTTTCTCTTCTGAATGTTAGATTTTTATTATTATTGAAATTGGAAATTAACATTATTGGCTTATTTAAAAATTCATAGACTTTGTTGTGGGGGAATAGGTTATAGGAAAATTGAGCAGAAAGTATAGAGAGTTTCCGTGTTATCTCCTTTGCATGGTTCCCCTATTTTTAATATCTGCATTAGTGTGGCACATTTGTTATAATCAATGAGCTGATATTGATATGTTGTAATTAACTAAAGATTATAATTTATTTTAGGTCCTTTCCTTGTGTTGTATATTCTGTGGGCTTTGCAAAATATCATAGCATGAATCCATCATTATAATATCATACAAAAAATAGTTTTATTTTATTTATTTATTTATTTATTTATTTATTTATTTTTAGTTCTCAGCGGACACAACATCTTTGTTGGTATGTGGTGCTGAGTATCGAACCCCGGGCCGCACGCATGCCAGGCGAGCGCGCCACCGCTTGAGCCACATCCCCAGCCCCAAAAAATAGTTTTAATAACTTAGAATGGAACCACCATTTAATCCAGTTATCCCACTACTCAACATACACCCAAAAGACTTAAAATCAGCATACTATAGTGATGTGGCCACATCAATGTGTATAGCAGCTCAATTCCCAATAGCTAAGCTATGGAACCAACCTAGTTTCCTTTCAACAGTTGAATGGATACAGAAAATGTGGTACATATGCGTAGTGGAATATTACTCAGCTATAAAGAAGAACGAAATTGTGGCATTTGCTGGTAAATGGATAGAACTGGAGACTATCATGCTAAAAGAAATAAGCCAATCCCCCAAAACCAAAGGCCATATGTTCTCTCTGATATGCAGATGCTCACATACAATAGGGAGTAGACAAGGTGGAATGAAGGGAAGGGAGGGGAATGGGAATAGGAAAGAGGGTAGAATACATCAGATATAACTTTCCTTTGGTCATGTATGAACACACTACCAGGGAAACTCCATATCATGTACAATCACAAGAATGGTATCCTAATTAGAATAAGTTATATTCCATGTATGTAGAATATGACAACGTACACTCTACTGTCATATATATCTAGGAAGAATAAAAATTTTTTAAAAAATTAAAAAAAAAATAAGTAAAAAGAAATAGTTTTACTGCCATGAAAATCTCCAGTGTTCAGGGGCTGGGGTTTTGGCTCAGAGGTAGAGCGCTCGCCTAGCATGTGCGAGGCCCTGGGTTCAATCCTCAGCACCACATAAAACTAAACAAATAAAACAAAGGTATTGTGTCCAACTACAACTAAAAAATAAATATTAAGAAAAAAATCTCCAGTGTTCTACCCATTCATCCCTCTCCACCTTCCCCTGAATCCCTGATCTTTTTTACCATCTCCAGTTTCCTTTTCCCAGAATGTCATACAGTTGGAATCATACAGTAAGTGGCATTTTCAGATTTGTTTTTCTCACTTAGTGATATTTATTTTAGTTATTTATATGATGGCTTTTATTAATTGGGTTTTGAATGTTGAACCATCCTTTTGATAGGGATTGCACTGAATCCCTATATGTAGAGTTCTGATTTATGAATATGGGATGCTTTTCCATTTTTTAGATGGTCTTTAATTTTTTTCAACACTTGTGTGCTTTCCAGTGAGTTTATGTCTATGTTAAATTTATTCCTAAGTGTTTTTTTGTTTTTGATGTTTTACAAATGGAGTTGTTTTTCTAACTTCATTTCAGATTATTTATTGCTAATGTATTATTTAGAAGTACAGTTGATTTTTGTATAATGATTTTGTTTTCTGTAGCCAAGTTGAACTAGTTTATAAGTACTGATAGTTTTTAAAAAAATTGTTTTTATGTATATTTTCTTTTTTAAAAATTGATCTCTTTTGTGTGTGTGTGGGGTTACTAGGGATCTAACCCAGAGGTGCTTTACCATTGAGCTACATCCCCAGACCTCTTACATTTTTAATTTTGAAACAGGGTCTTATTGAGTTGGTTACGACCTTATTGAGTTGCTAAGGCTGGACTCGAACTTACCATCTTCCTGCCTCAGCACCCCCTAGCTGCTGAGAATAGGCAAGCATCATTGTGCCCAGTGTTAATTGATTTTATAATTGATGTATTGTAGTTATACATAAAAGTGGAATTAGTATTTTCTGTATTATAAGTGTCATCTGCAAATAGGGCTATTTTTATTTCTTTGTGAAACACAAAGATAGTTTGAAATTTCTAATAAAATCACTCTTATGTTAACTTTTAATAAGGACAAAAAATGGTAATCATGAAGTTGATTTCTTCATTATCTACTTAGTCAGTGAGCTTCTTAGCCACTGCTGTACCTACGTGGGGGAAATGCCTATTCAAATATTTTGTCCATTTTATATTGGGTCATCTCATGTAGTCTGGATGTAGGTCCTTTATTGGATGTGCTATTTGTATGTCCTTCCTCAGTCTCTCTCCTGGTCTTTTCA